GTACCTGCCCTCTGCGGACTTCGTGGATGGGGTCAGCGATCGCTGGAAAATGGACGGCAGGCAGCGCATCCGCGGGCCTTTCGCCGTGCAGGGATGCCCCGCCTCCCTGTGCTCGTGCCGTGCGCTCGTGCCGTGCTTGTGGGTTTTACAGTAGATTGGGCAACCCCCATTTCGGTGAGCGCTGAGTCACAGTCGGATGGGACAGTGCATACCATTTTCACATCATGTTCTCATTACGCGCTTGAGGCTGGCATGGGCGCGGCACAGCTGTGACCGACATGCGCCTGGCGCACTCCCTGCGCGTCACGCTGCTGCTGCGACACGGCCCTCAAGCGAGGGGTGTGGAGACCACGTGTCCACGCGTCAGCACGATACGCCTGCCGCACCGCGCCGGGGAGCATTCCGTCCGCGTTCCATGGCTGTTTGCTCGCAGCGAAGTTCGCCCAGCCGTGCCCGTTTTATCGAATGGGGCCGGCGTGTGGCCGCCTTGAAAGACTCTCGACGTGGGGCAGCGTTCGGGTGCTGTGCCGTGTGATCCCGGGGTGACTGTTGGGCCGGTGGCCACTTCCGACCGCCAGCCATGGTCATTTAGCCTCCGCCAGCATTCCATTCCGACGGAGATGCCATTCATCGTCCGAATGTGCAGTCCGAATGTCCGAATTGTGCAGTTAGCAATGGGGCAACTTTGCAATTCGCCGGGGCTTTGAAAACCCTGCCAGAAGGGGGCGACTGCGAAGTGCGAATGTAGGCTGGTTGGGTGCGGACCCACAGCCCACAGCTAGCACCGCCTTGTCCTAGTGGACGTTCGAGGCGACAGCAGCCACCGGCAATAGCGCGTTGGTGCTGCCACCCAGCACAGATGAGACCTCGCACGTATTTGAGAGCGGCACTGGCTGGTGATGGTGTCGTGTTGTCGCATCTCATCAGTTTACAATTCCAACAGTTCCATGAGCGTTGTCGCAGGTCTACGTACTGATGCGGATGTGTCTCTGACTGCACTGTGCGCCGGAGAACATTCGTCGATCTTGATTCCTTTGGATTACATTTTCCAGACTAGCCATTGCAGGCAAGCCCATTCACTTTGCTGGCTGCAACGGGTGCAGAATGTCAACCCAGCACTTGTTCAAAGTCACTAGGCGCTCATACCGCACACCAGTCGAACGACATGAAAAGGGCGGCAATTCCTCATACTCGACGTCTTTCTGAAGCACAGCCTCGTCTGGCACATTGCAAACACGAGCTATGGTGCAGTGCTTTGTTCGTTCTCAGTATGGCAAAATATGGCCATCATGTCGCACGACCTGTGGGAGCCCTGGCCCCCTGGGAGCCCTGGCAAATCTGCGCATTTGAATGTGTGACCGGTACTTCAAACACATGGTTATGCAGCAACAATGTGGATTCCTTTCGATGCATTGTAGTTAATATTACTTCGAAGTCGCCAAAGGATTCTCAAGGCACTTGGCTGTGTGCGCGTCGGTTGTTAGTTTTCTCTGTGTCGCATCGCAGATCGGACGCATCCAACAGAGCGCATCAGCATCTGGATGCGGCGTCTACAGGAAGTTGCGTTCTACTGCAAGTGCTCTGCTGCTTTGCAAGCGTGGGAAAGAGCATTAGTGGGTGTGTGCACAACATCTGGTTAGGGCATTGTTTCTTGTTGCATGCACTAAGGAACAGGGCAACTGTGCCAAATTTATGGTGTTCCAGTTGGTCACAATGTCAGCTTGTGGCACTGTTGAAATGTACAGTAGACGAAAGGTTGCATTTGGAATTGTGCCGTAGAGTTGAGAACGCAAATCTGTGGAGTTCCGCACCACGCATAATATGATATGTACTTCGGGTTGTGTGATTACACGTTTATGTATTGAATAGTAATATCAATTTTGCAGGCACCAGCAGAGCACAGTTTAGCAGCGAACAACCCTTGTCGAGAGTATTCGAAACACACGACTTCTACCATATCTTGGCACATGTTGTGCACAGCCAGTTGGAAATCTGTTTTGGGCAGTCCATCGGCATTACTTATCTGCCACAAGGGAAGGATATCCCAATCCGAAGCAGGGTGGGTCCGAATTGGAGCCCACTGAGCGTTTGCCTAAATTTTCTGCACAGCCGCATCAACGCCTGTGTTTCAATTCAGGAGTTTACGCACATGCACAGCAGCCGTTTATATTGATGTGAGTACGAGGGATAGGCGCGCCTTTTAAATTTGTTTTCAAGCCGATCATACGCCGCCATCGTTGCAGTCAAAGAACAAGGGAACTCACGGCCGTAATGGCCACCACAAGGGTGTCCCTTGCTTTTCATGACACAACCATTCACTGCTTTCTGCCATCGCCCAGCGCTCGATACCGCTTTTCCCCGCCACCGAAAGCTTTAGTCATCGAAGGTGCGGTGCGTTTCTGATTTAATTGGACGGATATTTACAATAACAGCCAGTTGACCATCTGCGAAGCGCTGCATAGGGGAAGACGAATCGCAAGTGGTGATGGTACACATCGGGCGGATAAATGGTACCGCCATCGTCGCATCTTGAGCAGACAACGGGCTTCCTCTGGTTGGTGAACGCTCTTGTCTGCTCTCCCAGGGTAGCGGAAGACTGGCATGCACGGGCACTTCTCTCCGCGGTGCCCAGCCGACCGTGGCTCCAAGCATATGAATCAGCTCAGTGTCCTCCGTCTCCTCCTCGTCGTGCTAGCCACGACACTCCCGGGCGCCGCCATGGAAGCCGGTCCGCAAGTCCTTCCTCCGCTCATGGCTAGCCAGCGCGGCAGAATCTGGATTGCGCCGCCCTAGCGGTGAACGCAAAACGCGCCAAACTTTTACGTTGAACCTGCAGGGGTGTGGATCGCGAGGCTTGGCCCGCTGCACTGCCGGACGGGGTTCTACGTCGTGAGTTTCTGACACATTGTCGTGTGCTGCAGGTACTGCGGACAGCACCACGGGAAGGGATCAGTCCGGATTCTATGCCGGAACTGTTAATTGGAAGGTAGGCGCGGCTTGGCTGTTGTCCGGAGTGCTCTGATGGTTTTGGTGCCTGCACTAGGGTTTTGCAAGGGCGGTAGCCTTCCACATGCGGAACGCCGCAGATGTGTTCAAGGCGACCTTGCATGAGGGAAGCTGCTCTGCGATACACACTGCCGCGTGGTGCTGCCGGCGGCACTTCCTGTCGCCTCAACCGCCCGGAACTTGGAGCGCCTGTCTAGAAGAACATGTCGTTGGGCCCCACGGCACCCATGCCTGCGTGTGTGGTTGACCTGCAGAACAGCGGTCCACTGAACACCAGGGCCGCCATGGAGGCAGCCTGTCCATGAAACATTGCTTAGGGGAGTCTGCTGCCCGTTTCATGCTTACCGGAGCCCACCGACTCGCATCATCAAAGGCCGGAGAAAGCAGTGCCACATCGTTGCGGGTTGGCCGGTGCAGAACACCCTGTGTAACTAACACCAGTAGAAAACAGCCTGTTTGCGATGCCAACTGCATCGCCATTTGACAAAAATTGCCATCACAGCCCCCTTTATGCCATCGCAATAGCATTAATTTGTGTCAAAATGGCATCGCAGCTGATGTCGCAAACATAGCGTTTTCTACCAATGTGACTTTGATGCACTCTGTGCGTGAGTTTTCCTTTAGAAGACTGATCCTCAGTTTGCTGAACGAGAGCAAAAATCCAAATGCTGTTAGTATACACAGCATGTTGTGAAAGGTACAGCTTAAGACCAGCAGACGGTGGCATCACAGAAGAAATCGGCCTGAGGTAGCGTGAAATAGAATTCTGTGTGTGCGAAGAGTGTTTTCTAACACTTGTGTGAGGGCTGTTGCGCTTCAACTCAGGAGCGAACTGGCTGAAGCTATGATGCGAATCCTTTGCACCAATGTCACGTAGTTCCTATAATATCATCAGAACAGGTATCTGTACAGCAGGAACTTCCACTGCACCCTTCTAAATTTCTGCAAAGGGTGTGCCACTTGGCCTGTATCCAACTTTTCAAATGCAAGAACTTTTCCTGAATGTTTTTTGTTGGACCTTGCTTTCAGCCATGAATTTCTGTTCTGGTTGCATGTTGTCAGTGGATAAAATGAGCAGTGCGGCAACTCTCCAAGCCAACATATCGGAATTTGTTGAGGACCTTTCCAACTAATTCAAGTCAAATGGATAGACCAGAACCCAGTCGCTCGTCGGTTGCACCAATTGCTATTGTCGCCCATTCAGGTATTGAAGGTACAAGACTTTGTCCTCGATACTTTAGCCCTGATCCCACGTCGCCTTGTGCGGGTTTTCCATCAGTCTAACGTGAAATTGAAGTTGCGCCTACGCTGTGGCAGGGCGTGCAAGAGCTGCAAAGAGGAAGATTTCCTGGCAGTATTTCAATAAAACGCCACGGGTCCCATGACCACGTTTGCAGCGGCGTCCTGATTCACCCGTTGTGGGTATTGACTGCGGCGCACTGTGTGGATCCAACTTCGCCATATTCAGCAGGATGGAGGCCTATAGTGACGATTGGCTCAACCAATGTCGATGAGCAGGACGATCTTGGTGTTGAGGTGATTGCTTAGTTTTTCTTTTTACAGGATACGCTGATGAGCTAGGCGACGTGGTTTCGCGCTTGGCAACCCTCAAGTATGTTCAGAATTTCTACAAACTATGCGATCATCTGCCCTTCGGGGGGAACTGTAGGAATGCTAAAGCAGAACTACTCCAGGGCAAAGCGGAGAAGCAAAAAAAATGGAAACAATATATAACTCCAAAAGGTTCTGGCGTGTATGTCAACAGCGCCGACAAGATCGGTGGTTTGGACATACATGTCGCATTGAGAACAAGCGCGCATCGATGGGACCACCCCCCTGGAAGGGGGGATGGGGAGGGTTGGGGGAGACAATGCATCCGTTGCGTGGGTAAGAGTTGTCTGTTGCCAGCAGATCATAACATTTCCCCATTTCTGTGACCACCTGCTGACCGAATTTTTTCTTGACGCACTGAAAATTACCTCTCATTGCTGCAGATGTCAGTTGTGCAGCATACTGTTGTGCACCCCCAATGGGAAGGCCACCAGAGGTCGCCTCACAACATAGCACTGCTAAAGTTGGCAAGGGAATCGACACTGCCGTTTCCCACACGCCTGACCAATCATTTCGAGCTCAGGACAGGACAAAAGCTCTATGTCTTGGGTTGGGGCCAGGGAGAAGATGGCCCCGCTCTGGGAGAAGCGATTTTCACCACACTGAAGACAGAGGTTCAGGATCTCATAGATGGCTCCCATTGCAACAGATCAACACTGTGGAGAGGCGAGATGCCGCAAGGCATGCTGTGTGGCTTGAACCATGGACAGACGGCATCCTGCATAGGTGAGTTACGTTTGACGTTTTCGGCACAATGTCCTCTACTTGCTCATAGAGTGGACCGCTGTACTCCCCTGACCATTTCCAGTACATCGCGATACTGTGTTAGGAATGCCAGTGTGTGCTGTGGAGTAATACCCTGTTGCAGTAAAATGTTCCGCATTCGGTCCAGCGGGCGCAGGCTGGGACCACTGTGGACACCCACTGGCCCCGCTGTTCTGCGAGCCAAGAAACAGCCGGAATCGTTTGCGCTTGTCCCCTTTGGATCCAAGCGACAGGAGTTGGGGAGGAGGCAGTGCGTTTTGATGGCGTAGCAGAGTTGTGGGAATTGGCCACACCAGGTGTGCGACGATGCAAATCAAAGCCACACATGTTATCGCGCAAGTGGATGCCAATATGTGAAAAGAGCAGCTGCTGCAGTGGACTTGATTGATCTGCCATTGCGAATCCGATGAAGACGTTCATGCCGTCGAAGAGTGGAACTGCAGTGGCCATAAGCCCTCGATCGTCAATGCTTTTGCTCCAGAAGTAGACATCCTCAATCATAGTGCAAAATACGCAAAAACTGTAATGAGGATGCCATGACGGCGCTAGCGTATGCCCGGCATCGCAGCCCCTGTCGAAAGATGTTTTCTCCTGCATGTTTCACCTGAGGATGGTTCGCATTGCAACCGCCCAGTTCGTGGGCGCAAATGCCCGGTCCAGCGGCTCGTGTTTATGGGGAATTCAGCTGTCTCGCAGATCTCGAAAATTGGCAAGGCACATTTTGCTCTCGCCGGGGCTGTTTGCACACGCCTTTGCAGTGTAACTCGGCTGCGCAGCGGAAGTGCAGCTTGTTTCAAATCAAGCATTGTATGGAGGTAGCCAGAGAGTTATGTTTTCTAGCAGCCGCGATCTTTTGGGGAAGATCTGCATGCTGCTAATCACACTGCGCATTTGCCGTTAGATTCCTGTGCCCCATTTTTCAATTTAATGCGGTAAGCAAAATAGCACTGTAGCGAGAGGACGACATGCGCCGGTTACAGTGCTTCAACGCAGGAAGGTGGGCTGCTACACAGTGTTGCGGCTAGAACTGATTGAGTGTTACTAATAATTGAATGCATGAAAAGATGACGAAGCACTAGGAATTGCATTAAAGATGTTGATGAACAGACTGAGTATAAAGGGCGGAATGTCTCTTGTCCTTTTGCCTCGGCTGTAAACCGTTGCCGTGGACTCGAGCGTACAATTCCCGTTTAGGGATCGGCAGCCCTCGATCCTGCCTGCCTTCGTCAACATCAACTCGTGATTCGATGCATGCAACCTTTAGTGTAGTGGGACACTTGGTTGAATGTTCATTTCTACTTTTGTCTCCTTGGACATATATTATTGAAAGGTAATTACGCACAAACGTGTCTGCAGATGTAATGCTACGGTCTGAAGTGCTGTACATGGCAGTGCAGTGTCGCGGCAGGTTGTGAACCGCAGGCCAGACTTGGTCATTTGCGCGTCAATGACAAAGCACACGTCACGTGTGCACACGCACGCGCTCTGCGCTCTCAAATACACAACGTTCCATTGATGTTATAGTGTTGGCCACCGAATAAGGCAGCCTCACGAGACTTTTCCCTCACCTACTCCACGCCCCTTCGTTTTCCGTATTGTTTTTGTTGCTGCAGATTTGCTTCTGTCTTCCCCGCAAATCCCTGGTTTCGGCTTGTCCGCGATGTGATCACCAGGATTGACCTGAAAATTCCTATCGGGAAATTTTCTGGTCCCACGTCGCAAATTGGATTTTGTTAATGCGTGTACGTATTCATTGCAGATATGTGCATGTCATCGCACAACAGGCACTGGATTCTACAGTACGTGAATTGCAGCGTATACCAGTAGTTTAATCCGTGACCTTTGATTCATAACATTATTGGTCAATTTCCCGAGTGGTTGGCATTTTGTGCTGTAGTATCATTCTGCAATGTACAGTGCTTTTCTGACATTCAGTCAGTGCCGCATCCCGGGCATCGATCTTCATTGATTTCTCTTCGGGTTTTTGACACAGCCGATTCAGGGAGCCCCTTGCTGCTTCTGGATACGCCAAAGCTCAAAGTGGACATCGGGAATCCTCGGTTGGATTTCTTGGTCGGCCTGAACGTCGATGGAGCTCCATGCGGAACGCCAAGGAAGCCCGATATCTACATCGACCTGAGAGCCAACGACAAATGGATTGAATCCGAAATCGGCAGTTGGCACGCTAGTGAGGAGTTGTGAGTATGGTTCCTTGCCGTAGATGCTGACAGAAACACATCTATTATTGGGGGATGAAAGAGTGCGCACGGCACGATGGCATGGGTGCGAATTTGGGGACACCTCATTCACAAGAACATAGCAGTGCGCTTGGGTGGGACATGTTGTATTGCTAATTGACTATTATTGACACACTGAATGACAGGGTACGGTGGCGCAGTATGTAAGTACCGCCAGGGCGCATGTACAGAGCATCCCGCCCCACGACGCGGTCGGGGCCGCCGTCTACGGCGGCAGCGCTACGCACCGGCGCCCATGTTGTTGGCATTCGCAAGGGCCAGGGCGACGACGCACCCTCCCACGGAAAGGGGGTGATCGCTTTTCGGAGGCCGCCGTAGCCCTTGGGCACTTATGGGCGCGCAGCGGGAAGCCACGGCGGCAGAATGCGGGACGCAGTCCGGCACTGCCACAGGACATGGGCGTCCATGGCGATACGTGCGCCACAACCCGCACGCCGCCCGTGACCAGCGAACGGTCAAACGGTCACCGGGGGTCTTCCCCGTCACTGCCCCACGACCAAGCCACACAGATCGGCTGGTGCGCTTGGGAATGGCGCCGCTGCTGTGTGTGCTGCCGCGGGCTTCTCCCAACGCAGAGGGCAGACGCCGGACAACAGCATCCCTCCTGCAGCACCTGGTTTGCAAGGCTTGCAGCTCCCTCATCGGCGTTATCCTGCGTGCATCCAAAGGATGGATAGATGGACAGGGAGGCATCAACATGGCCATTATTGGCGCGAGGGCAAGAGGCAAATGCCAAAGGGTCAGCTGTGATGGCGATCCAAGTATTTAGGATAGAACCCGGGGTGGGCCGAATATGTATATCAAGCGCCAGCACACGAAATGCAAAAATCGGCCTCCGCCTTGCAGGCGTGCAGTTTGAATGCCGGTTTGTAGGTGTCCGAAAATTGCAACGAGCGTGTTGGAGCTCCGGATTGCGAATGAACTGTACTAGCAAGCACATTTATCGGTTCTTCCGCACACTGAAAATGCAACATGCAATGAATCCTGCACTGCGGCTCGGTAGGAAAAGTGCTGCATTCAAATAAATGAGCTCCAAAATACGCCCTGACTTGTGGTTGCCCGCCGTGCTCCCTCGGCCAGCCCAGGGACGGCGGCAAGGTGACCCTGGAGATCTTGCCCGCCAGTGCCATTGATGTGCCCCCAATGGGGCACAAGGCAGGGGGATTCTCTCCTCCAGCAGGCGGGGGATCCCCCCTCACAGACCTACTGTGTGCGCGCTTCGATTGCAGATGCTGTGGTTTGTTCACCACGTCGGCGGCCATCATCAGAGGCGGGTGGGATCTCCAGGGTCGCATCACCACCTTCGCCCTAGGTTGGGAAAACGCCGCAACACGGCGGTCTCCAGCAAGTGTAGACACAAACAGGAGACTACTGATTTTGAGGCCGCCAACACCGCGTGCACAATGTGGAGAAGAAATGAGTAGAGACTAATTACACCCCAACCATGGTACAAGCATCAACAGCCCTCGACTGCTGAGTCCAGAATTTCAAAATTCACCTTTAGTGGTACAACATGGATCAATTAATAACGTATCAACGTGTCTCCAGTGAAAAATGCCACTGAACGAGCTACAAAATCACGAGCACCTTGAATTCCCGCTGTACAATCAAATAAAAGCATCAGAATAAACGAAATTGTGCATTTGAGAAACTGCGCAACCATGCACATATTTATTCATAATTTATTGCCCCAAAGCAGTGCAGCTATTCGAAAAATCTGCATAACCACGACTTCACTTCCCAGCTGAATTATCCAGTCAAAACTTGGCGTGGTTCTGGATACGTCCGTCTCATGTTTTCCAATCTTCGGCTGCACATTCCACAAGTAGTGGACACGCTGTCTGATAATCTGGAAACTCAAGCCCTCATCCTTCAATGCCAGCAAAGCATTCCAACTTCTATACAATTGAATTCCCACTGCTCTATAAATTGCAGCTCCAGGGGCGCGTAACCCACTGCCACTAAGTTGGATATCCTTGCTGGGTCAACTTGGCCAGGATATGCTCCCGCCAAAAGTCTTTTGCTTTCATTTTCTTCTATTTCCTTGATGCTTGTCCTTTCATTGCGTAGCTATCTTCCAGATAGAACCATGGAAATTTGCTCATCTATCCAAAAGTGGAGCTCTCTGAGGTCCAGATATATATCTGGCTTGGCTGGAGTGGAGCATGGGGCGCCATCCACATTGATCCCGACCACGAAATCCAGGCGCCCGTTCCCCGCGCGGATGTCATAATGTGGTGCATCCATCAGTAAGAGGGGCGCACCAGAGTCAACTGCAGTAGCGAAAACGAATTGTCTGAATACCAGGCAAGTACCAATGAGATGTCTAACATATGAATAAGGTAGCATGTGTACTGCGTGTACTTCAGGGGCGTGCAGGTGCTCTTGCGTAATTAAGTGATGGAGTCATGCATTTTATTGTTTGGAACTCGATGTATTGTCCAATTTTACGCAGAGGTAATGTGAACCACATAAATTGGCTAATGGCAAGTGCGTGTGGATCATACTGGCATTTTAGTGCACACTCGAGCAGTTTTAATGCATTCCGTTCCAGGCACGGAATTTAACTAAGTAAGGGCAGTACTACTTCCCCGTCCCACATGAACTTCAATAATGGAAAACAATAGAAATGGGAGTGAAACGCCATGCATAAATTTCTGGCATCTCAGCTGTGAGATAAATCTGAAAACAACGTTCGTACATTGACCAGCATACCTGGTGGTGCATTCGTTCTCACAGAAAAACAAACCTTGTGATGCAGTTGCGTGAGCGCGCGATTCATTAGAAACACAAGAAGCCCATAGGTCCTTTGCGCATGGATCAGCTGTGTCCATCGTCAACTCACCAACGCACGACGCCTGCCGGTCGAAGTTCAAACCACAAAACAAACCAGATGGAATTCTGCCATCCCACAGTGTGCTCCTGTTGCATTGATCCGGGTCGATAAAATCCTGCGGCTCAACCTTCAGTTCCCCAAAAATGGCTTCACCAAGCTTCGGCGCTCTTCCTCTGGGCCCCCATCCAAGAGCATCAAGTTTTCGGCCGTTCCTCAGGACTATGTGGTCGTGCATTATGTTTGGAACCGTCTTGTTCGACGCCTTGTGCAATTTAATTAAGGCGACGTTCAGCGGAGATTGCTGGTGCTGCTGGCCCCCTTCCCAGCCTTCGTGTATGATAGACCGCTGAGCGATATGTACCTTGGGTGCGAACAAAAAGCTGTTGTCCCTTGATATACGATCCATGCAGGGCAATTAAAACTAGGAAAACCAATCGCTGATGAAGCGATTATAGCATCGTTGAATCAACAGTTGCGCCGGAAATGCCTTTCGACAGGAGAAAGGCTTCGTCCATTCCACCAATCACTTGAATAGGTCCGCGTTACTGGCTGGTATAAGCTTCATTTCGTCGCTTGGGAGAGACTGACCCTTCTGCTCTGATTTCCATTGTGGCATCTTCCGGCTTTCCGAGATTCTAGGCCTCACAGGGCGCCATGTGGGCAATGTCAATGCTGCATATATCGCATCTTTCTCAACAGGCAAGGTGTGCATGAATCAATTGCACCATTGCCACAGCAGCCTGCGGGCGTAGGTCGACGAGGAGCAAAATTTGACGCTATCCACATGAAGTCATGCAATTTTACGTAATTTTGTATAATGTGCATCATGAAATACCCACAACGGACAATCACGTAAAATTCCACAATGTCTGTTCGTTTCATTCGTATATGGCGACATCAATATCTTGAATATCTAAGATGACATACATCCCATGCGTTTCCCTGTATATTCCGCACGTACCTCTGTGCCTTGACCTGAGTCATCGGCGGACGTGGCGCCAATGTGCAACACAGGGCGCGGTCCAGCACTGTATGCTGATTTCGGATCAACGCAATGTCCCGCAGTTAACACGATTTGCGGGTGGACAAGCACGCCAGTGCAAACGTGATCACGCGATCCAGGCCGCCTCACGGATACAACGTAGGGCGCGCGGCCCGCAGGGAGCGGCCAATTCTCCTGTAAATACCGCAGAGCCAGCATTCGAATTCTGACAAGGTGTTCTAGAAACAGTCATTAAAGTATACCCAGCCATGTTCTTGTTGTGAGCAATGTGCATCGGAGCCTGTAACAGGCCACCAGGGCAACACCCACATGGAAAGGCAACGGCGAATGGCATTCACGTGGATGCTAATCACCTTCGTATGACTGGCGCAGCTCGAAGTTCAGATATTTCTCTCATATTATTTGATTACGTTTGCTACATAAACATGAGAAAACACTGCCCTTGCGCCTCACACGCAATGTCGGGCATGAATAATGCGGGCCTGATGGGGGGTAATTGTACATTGCCGTCTTGTTTTCTCATTCTTGCGCCCCCATCCAAATTGCCGTATGGTACTAAAAGAAGTATGGGACCGTTTTTTAAGCATGTCTTCCAGTGGTTAGGGTAACTGAGAACCGCGAAGGCCAAATATGCATTCAAAGCTTTGATATTTTTTCAATATCGTTGAGGCTCGCATCAGCAACAGCATGGGACGTATTTCCAGCCTGACGCACTGGAGCAACGCGGCAGTACTTCAACATACTAGACCATTAAAGAAACAATAACAGCAGCTTCATCGTGAATCTAAGTTCATTCAGCCGTTTGTCATCCAAACAATATTACAACTGTAGATTTCCCTAAATGCCATGATTGTGTCCGTAACGTTGCTGAAATTTGAACTGCTTGAAAGGAGTAAAAAATTTTAGACAGCGATGCTTTGCATGTGGAATGGGCTTCATTGCTAAGAAGGTTTAGTTTGATCGCTAGATTAGGCATCACTAAATGAGCGCCACCTATTGATTCACTTCAATTTAGCAACTTCCACTGGTAATTCTCTTCACTATTTAGTTAAGAAAGCCTTATCAATAGCATTTTCAGTTGCCAGACCATACGGCCATTGGGATC